CTCCAGGTTGAGGATGCTTTCCTGTTAAAGTTACGACGCCATATCAAGGAGGCGGACGGGGGTGGGGATCGATGGGGAGTAGTCTCTGTCATCCCCAGAGGTGGGTTGCTTATGCATTGGGACGGAGGGTTGTGCCGTTACATCGCCGTGCCCACTGCCCTGCAGGGTAAAATTATCTGGGTGGTGCACAAGCGACTGCTGCACCTGGTGTGCATAAGACGCTTTCCACACTTAAGCTCGACTTCTTCTGGCCCGGTATGCCGGAAGATGTCACTATTCTATTGAAGGGGTGTGTGCAGTGCGCTCGGCGGAGATCCCCGTCTAAACCCTGTTGTCCACCATTACCCCGTGTGTTGGTGTTAAATAAATGTGCTGCCTCTAAGAGTACGTCTGCGACTCAGTTTAACTCACTACACATACATACATACAAACACACACACTGGATGTCACCATGCTGTGGGTGCAGTACCGGCCATAGAGGGGCATGGTGTGCGCTAAATAATAGCGCTGGATGGCACCACGCTGTAAGTGCAGTGCCGGCCCTACAGGGCAGGGTGTGTGGGTGCCGACCGAAGGATAAGGTTGTGTGAGGTCATGGCACTCTGGTTGACCTGGGAGGACACGTGACCGCTTAAGTTGACAGAGGGGCCCCAAGAGGGGGCTAGGAGGGTCACGTGATTGGGACCCAGATCCTTTCTGAGGATTCTGGAAGGTAGACGTGGCCAAGGGCGGAGCCGGCCACGCCACAGAGAATATAAGCCGGGTCCCGAGAGGGACCAGGGTTGTTGTTCATCCTGGAAGAAACCCTTCATCTACGATCTCCGTTCAACGAGTCTCCAACAAGTGGACCCGGTCCGAAGACTTTGTTCCCGGTCCGTAGTAACAGTTACGTAGTAACTAGTGTAGTTAGCTGGGTCGTCACCACTTTAGGTTGTTATTCTGTTAAGGGGAAGTTGCCGCATGTGTTGGAACTGAATAAAATGTGTTGCCTCCAAGTCTATGTCTGCGACACAGTTGAACTCCATTACACATACATACATACAAACACACACACACACATCTATCCATACACAGAGACACATCTATCCATACATACACGATACAAACACACACACACATCTATCCATACAAATAGACATCTATCCATACATACAAGCACACACACACATCTATCCATACATACAAACACACATCTATCCATACACACACATCTATCCATACACACACACACATCTATCCATACACACACATCTATCCATACACACACATGTCTATCCATACATACACACAGGCAGCTCCCTGCTCATCCCATGAGACGCGGCTCGGAGGCAAGAGTTCATCACGACCACGTGATCCCGACAGGTGCGTGTGAGTGCCCAGGTAAAGCGGCGCGTGCGTCATTCGGGTGCCGGGGGACGGTGCAGAGCGAGTAACCGGGCCCTGCACAAACTGCGCCGTTCACGCGGCGGGGTTCAAACGGCGGGGTTCACACGGCGGTGTTCATGCTGTGAGGTTCACGCGGCGGGGTTCAAACAGCAGGGTTCACGCGGCGGTGTTCACTCTGCGAGGTTCACACTGCGCCGTTCACGCGGCGGGGTTCAGGCTGCGGGGTTCACGCTACGACGTTCACGCTGCCAGGTTCACGCTGTGACGTTCACGCGGCGGGGTTCACGCGGTGGGGTTCACGTTGCGGGGTTCACGCTGCGACGTTCATGCTGTGACGCTCACGCTGTGACGTTCACGCGGCGGGGTTCACACCGCAGGGTTCACGCTGCGAGGTGCAAGCAAACCCTGGACCGGTTTCGACATTCTGGGTCTCATCAGCAGAATACTCTTTGCAACAACATCTAATTCAGCAGCACTTGTTTGACTAGCCTGACTGATGAGACACTGCAGCTTGAAACCAGTGCAGAATTTGCTTGGTTAAACTAATCTTGCTTGATAAAATTGGTCTCGGAAGCCGACAGGCTGATGGACTAAGACATATACTGTTATTCATATGTGGAGATACAGGACTGAGATAAAGCATATCTGTAGTTTTATTCATGAAGTTCCAAACTAGTGCATGGTGAGGTTGTGTACAGAGTTAGCTTGATAACTTTAGCGTTAGTGCGCGAAGCACTGCACTACCGCTGGATGCAGCAATCTATCCCGCACGCGAGCTCACAATCGTCGCTCCATCTCCGCGGTCATCGTCCCCTTTGGATGTATTCACTCCTTTTGGATGCCATTCCGTCGCTAGTCTGGACTGCCGGCCAGAAACGTGCGTTTGGGATTACTTAGATGATGAGGTCGCTGTTATGCATGTCCACGTGATAAGGCACTGCGTTGAGCTGTCATTTGTGGCCAGGTCACGTCTGAAAATGAGGCTAATAGCTGAGTGGGCTTTACCTGGTAAGATACAGACAGTGGGATTTTATTTGTATGAGTGGTTTGTTTACCTTTCCTATATTTGCACGCCTATCGTGTTTGTTGTGTTGTTTGTTGGTGTAACTTTCTGACCTGCCCCTACTGGACATCTGTGAAAAAGAGCTTTACAGTATAAATACAAATTCTGATTCTGACTATCCCTTGCAGCGACCTACACGTCCTGCTCAAGAAAATCACTGTTCACAACAGTCCGTGAGATGTATTAAACTTGCGCATGCCCTCTGAGCCACGTGCTCTTCCTCTCTCCCGCACTCGGCCCTCGGCATCCTGTCCAGCTGGTGTAAATAGGTCGCACGCGTAGGCCGCCTATTCGTTCTCCAGGCGCGGCAGTATAGATAGGTTAGTCCAGGGATCAGCAACCAAAACAACAAGCAGAGACATTTTTTTCATTTGCTAAAAAAAAACCTCAATATATCAAGAGGCGCAATGAACGTGAATAGTAGACGGTCAATTATAAGTGACGTCATTAATTAGTCATTAAAGAGCCGCATGCCGGCGCCTGGAGTTCGTCAATCGACAGGTTTACGTTCGGTGTGGCAAAGTGCGGCTACTCCCACCTCTTACAAGACGTTTGGGCAGCTTGTGAGCGTAAAATACACATCTAGACGGGCCCTGTTGAACTGCCTCGAGTGGAGATCCTTCCACCTGCAGTGGCGTGAGCGAGCAGTTGCAGCGTTGCGCCTTTACCTTCCGTTGTGCTCTCGGTCACCCCCCCCCCCTCCATGGGAGGCGGTGACGGGGCGCCACCTGCAGGCCGCTTCTCCCCTTGCATGGTGACCCACACCTGCGGCGGTGACCCACGCCTGCGGCGGTGTCCCACACCTGCGGCGGTGGCCCACACCTGTGGCGGTGTCCCGCACCTGTGGCGGTGACCCACACCTGCGGCGGTGACCCACACCTGCGGCGGTGACCCACACCTGTGGCGGTGACCCACACCTGCGGCGGTGACCCACACCTGCGGCGGTGACCCACACCTGTGGCGGTGTCGCGCACCTGTGGCGGTGACCCACACCTGCGGCGGTGACCCACACCTGTGGCGGTGTCCCGCACCTGTGGCGGTGACCCACACCTGCGGCGGTATCCCACACCTGCGGCGGTGACCCACACCTGCGGCGGTGACCCACACCTGCGGCGGTGACCCACACCTGTGGCGGTGACCCACACCTGCGGCGGTGACCCACACCTGCGGCGGTGACCCACACCTGCGGCGGTGACCCACACCTGTGGCGGTGGCCCGCACCTGCGGCGGTGACCCGCACCTGCGGCGGTGACCCACACCTGTGGCGGTGACCCACACCTGCGGCGGTGACCCGCACCTGTGGCGGTGACCCACACCTGTGGCGGTGACCCACACCTGTGGCGGTGTCCCGCACCTGTGGCGGTGACCCGCACCTGTGGCGGTGACCCACACCTGTGGCGGTGACCCACACCTGTGGCGGTGACCCACACCTGTGGCGGTGACCCACACCTGTGGCGGTGTCCCGCACCTGTGGCGGTGACCCACACCTGTGGCGGTGACCCACACCTGTGGCGGTGACCCACACCTGTGGCGGTGTCCCGCACCTGTGGCGGTGACCCACACCTGTGGCGGTGACCCACACCTGCGGCGGTGACCCACACCTGCGGCGGTGACCCACACCTGTGGCGGTGACCCACACCTGTGGCGGTGACCCACACCTGTGGCGGTGTCCCGCACCTGTGGCGGTGACCCACACCTGTGGCGGTGACCCACACCTGCGGCGGTGACCCACACCTGCGGCGGTGACCCGCACCTGTGGCGGTGACCCGAGGGCCGCGGCTCCTAAATCCTGCGGAGAGCGGAGTGAGAGAGGAGGAAGCTACAGAGACCCCCCCCTCCCCCCGTATAGGCTTAACACACTTTTGGGGCAAGTTGCTGATAGCGAGCACCTATGAAGGGCCGACACGGTACACGAGGGGGTGGGTGGCCAGCACCACGCCCGACCGCCTTTGTCTCCCCAGTGGCGATGTTTTTTTTATTACACATAACGCAACAGGTACTCATTTGAGGCTGATTTGACGTAGGAAACCGGTTCACATAACCCCCCATCACTGGTGCTGCTGGGCCGTGAGCGGGGAAATCGAACCCGTGTGGGGGCCGGGTTAGTAGGCGCTTAACCACTCCGCCACCGCTCCCCTGCCACAGAGGGAGCTACCATCCAGAGAGAGTGGTTGGTAGCTCCAGCGTGCGCTTAACCACTCCGCCACCGCTCCCCCCCACCACAGAGGGAGCTACCAGCCAGAGTGAGTGGTTGGTAGCTCCAGCGTGCGCTTAACCACTCCGCCACCGCTCCCCCCACCACAGAGGGAGCTACCAGCCAGAGAGAGTGGTTGGTAGCTCCAGCGTGCGCTTAACCACTGCGCCACCGCTCCCCCCCCCCCCACCACAGAGGGAGCTACCAGGCAGAGAGAGTGGTTGGTAGCTCCAGTGTGCGCTTAACCACTCCGCCACCGCTCCCTCCCCCCACCACAGAGGGAGCTACCAGGCAGAGTGAGAGAGCGGCTCGAGCCGGTGACGTCGCGGCGTCCTCACGAGCTGTTGCCATGGAGACGGCGGTGGTGGTCGTGGTGACATCGTCGAGGCGACGCCGTCTCAAACAACGGCGTCGAGGGGCGAGCGAGAGGCGGCATGAGGGGCCGAGCGGAGCGTGGCTCACAGCCGCGGGGTTAGAGGCGCAGGTGAGTGTCGCTGTGGGGGGAGCAGAGGAGCGGTGGTGTAGTGGTTAGCGCTACTCGAGTTGGATTCCCGCTCACGGCCAACACCGGTGGCGATTATCTGAAGCGGTTCTGGGCCTCCTCTCTAAGTCGACTCAGCCTCAAATTAGTACCCGGTGCGGTGTGTGAACATCGCCACTGGGGAGGCAAATGCCACCCACCCCCTCGTGTGCCGTGCCGGCCTTCACAGGTGCTACTCGCTAACAGCACTTGCCCCAACAGGCTGTTACAGGCTACACGGGGGATATTTGTCTTTGTTTCGTGGGGGACAGGGCCAGATCTGGGCAAGGTCTCATCGGTGAGCTCCTCCGGCAGGCAAGGCTGCGTTGGCTGGGTCATGTAGCCCGCATGCCCAGCCACCGCATGCCGAAACAGCTTTTGTTCGGCCGGATCGAGGGGACTAAACGGACGCGGCACGGGCTAGAGAAGAGATGGAGTGATGTGGTACAGGAGGCACGGGCTAGAGAAGAGATGGAGTGATGTGGTACAGGAGGCACGGGCTACAGAAGAGATGGAGTGATGTGCTACAGGAGGCACGGGCTAGAGAAGAGATGGAGTGATGTGGTACAGGAGGCACGGGCTAGAGAAGAGATGGAGTGATGTGGTACAGGAGGCACGGGCTAGAGAAGAGATGGAGTGATGTGGTACAGGAGGCACGGGGCTAAAGAAGAGATGGAGTGATGTGGTACAGGAGGCACGGGCTAGAGAAGAGATGGAGCGATGTGGTACAGGAGGCACGGGCTACAGAAGAGATGGAGTGATGTGCTACAGGAGGCACGGGCTAGAGAAGAGATGGAGTGATGTGGTACAGGAGGCACGGGCTAGAGAAGAGATGGAGTGATGTGGTACAGGAGGCACGGGCTAGAGAAGAGATGGAGTGATGTGGTACAGGAGGCACGGGCTAGAGAAGAGATGGAGTGATGTGGTACAGGAGGCACGGGCTAGAGAAGAGATGGAGTGATGTGGTACAGGAGGCACGGGCTAGAGAAGAGATGGAGTGATGTGGTACAGGAGGCACGGGCTAGAGAAGAGATGGAGTGATGTGGTACAGGAGGCACGGCCTAGAGAAGAGATGGAGCGATGTGGCACAGGAGGCACGGGCTAGAGAAGAGATGGAGCGATGTGGTACAGGAAGCACGGGCTAGAGACGAGATGGAGCGATGTGGTACAGGAGGCACGGGCTAGAGAAGAGATGGAGTGATGTGGTACAGGAGGCACGGGCTAGAGAAGAGATGGAGTGATGTGGTACAGGAGGCACGGGGCTAGAGAAGAGATGGAGTGATGTGGTACAGGAGGCACGGGCTAGAGAAGAGATGGAGCGATGTGGTACAGGAGGCACGGGGCTAGAGAAGAGATGGAGCGATGTGGTACAGGAAGCACGGGCTAGAGAAGAGATGGAGTGATGTGGCACAGGAGGCACGGGGCTAGAGAAGAGATGGAGTGACGTGGTACAGGAGGCACGGGCTAGAGAAGAGATGGAGTGATGTGGTACAGGAGGACGTGGAGCTGAGTGTACTTGCCGATGACTGGTACCAGCGGTGTCAAGATCGGCCTCTGTGGCGGAGGCTCGTGAAGGACGCTACTGGGCAGTTGGAGGCAGTCGCACTCCAACAACAACGGAGGGCGGAGGAGCGACGCTCACAACAACGAGCGGAGCGCCGGGTGGCTAAGGCACAGCAGGTTGGCACAGTAGGGGGCACAGGTGGTGCATCAGCCAGCCATCTCAGTCATCTTTGTCAGTCGACCCGTGGCACCTGGATCTGCCCCGTGACCTGCCAGCGGGCGTTGGACACTTCACGTAGCCTCAACGTGCACGTAGCCTGGCACGAGCACCGTGCTGAGGTCACTGCTACTGAGTGGCGAATTGTTGTTGTTGGGGAGCGGTAGTGTAGCGGCCAGCGCGCTGCCCGACCCGAGTTTAATTCCCGCTCACGGCTAACACCAGTGGCGATTATCTGAACCGGTCATGTGCCTCCCCAAGGTCGACTCAGCCCTCAAATGAGTACCTGGCATGGGGAGACAAAGGCGGTCGGGCGTGGTGCTGGCCACCCACCTCGTGTGCCGTGCTGGGCTTCATAGGTGCTCGCTAACAGCACTTGCCCCAAGAGTCTGTTAAGGCTGTACGGGTGATCTTTGTCTCTGCTTGTGTGTGGGAGGCGGGGGGCGATACAAACCTGGCGACACGAGTTCGTTTCCCGTTCACGATCAGTAGCAGTGGCGAATATTTGAACGGCTCCTGGGCCTCCCCCAAGGTCGACTCAGCCTCAAATGAGTACCTTGCGCGATGTGCAAACATCGCTCACTCGGGAGACAAAGGCGGCCCGATATGGTGCTGGCCACCCAGGCTACAGAAGTGATATATGTGTGACTGTAAGTGGCCATTCTTCATTCATCACGTTCGTCACCGATTGGTAAAGGCGGGGCACCATAGAAGCACGGCACAACAATGGCTTGCTGCACTGCCCTCTGCTGCTCACCATTGGGTACAGCCTTAAAGCGCCTGCTTATGCTCGCTCTCGTCCAAGCCAGGCTCAAAGCCTGCTTAGCTTCGAGATGGGACGCGATCATGCCATTTACAACGAGCCGACATCATCACAAAGTCGCGTCACGCAACCCCGGGTCAGCGTCATGATCATCAACATCGATTGGCACATCGTTCACATCACTATCATCACCTTCAAGTGCCAATGGCAACCTGATGCCCGTTTGCAGATTAGTGACAGCTGTGACTGGGGAGACTGCCCCCTTTCAGATGAGATGCGATGATGTAGAACGCTCTGGGAAACATCGTGAATAACGCCGTTTACTCGTCTCTCCGGCCACCTCGCTCCCGAGGCAGCTGGTACTTTGCTGCTGCTGCTCCAACGGTCGGAGCAGACCAAACTGCCGCCGGGAAACACTTGCCACGCGGGAGTTTGCTATGCGGGCAACTTTGGCAGTTTGCTCTGCCGCAGGGGAACGATTTTGGCTATCGTCAGGTCACGGGTTCGGTCAGCGCACGCACGCACACACGACTACGCCTCTCGTGTTACTGTTGTTGTGTTGCTGCTGTTGGTGTTGACAGCGGAAGGGTAGCCGGCGTGGTAGGTGGCGCCCAGCGGTTAGGGCTACTGCATTGTGAAACCCCCGGCCACCTGAGTTCAATTCCCGGCCACGGCCAACATCAGTTGGCGAATTGATACCAGGAATCGGCCCTCCAGCCATCGTTCCAACAACGAGCTACCGACCAGTGCGTGAAGCATGGTCAAAGAGACCCCCTATAACCAACGCGGGCTGGTCTCTCCAGAACATTATTTTGATTCCCGGCAACGGCTAGCATCAGTGGCGAGTAATACCTGAACCGGTCTTGGCACACACCCCCCCCCCCCCCTTCCCACCCACAACCTTTTACCAACCCCACACTGACAAGCCTGGTGAAGTATGGTCAAACAACCCTGCACATTTGGGCAACGCGATGGATCGAATACTGTATTCAGCTTTCATTGTACACACTCGTCCGGGATTATGGCGAGGCAATCCACCAGGCACGTGGTTAGCGCAGGGGCTTAGCTGGAGCCCTTGCACGTGGCCAGGTCAAGTCGGGTCTGGCTCAGAGGTCAGGTTGGGGGGGAGGCCACCCTGGGTTGAGATAGCTATAAACATATCAATCAAGTTGCATACCTGTTAACCCCTTAGCGCCTACCTTATAACAGACCAATTCAGACTTTATTGGTCACCCCGTGCCCTTATAAATCTCAACATTCATCCTACAAAGTCCCATCACAAGGGAGAAACACAAATAGACACAAACAAGTTTTTGCCCGTATTGAAACGGCTGTACGCCGAATGGACATGAAAACTCAATTTCCCTGTACAAGAATACGGATAAAACGTATGAGTTGACAGCTATGAAGGTAATAAATTATGTTGATGGTTGTATGGTGTAATGTGTTGCTATGATGATGGGTTCTTGGTTTTATTACGTGATGGTGTGATAGGTTCACATGTTACTAGATTGACGGTGTAATGGTTTAATAGTGTGACGGTGTTTTGGTATGATGGAGTGACGGTATGATGATGTTATGGTATGATTGTATGTATGGCGATGATATGATGGAATGATGACGTGGTCTGACGGTATAAGAGTGTAATGATGTGATGGTATTATGGTGTAATGGTATGATGGTGTGATCGTATGATGGTTTGATGATCTGATGGTATGATGGAGTGATGGTATAATCGTGTGACGGTACAATAGTGTAATAATGTGATGGTGTGATGGTATAATGGTGTGACCCCACATGCCACGTGTCTGACCCAGGTGCCAGTCCACGTGGCCAATGAGAGGCCCCGATGAAGCGGATGGGAGCTCCACCCGCCCCAAGACCTCCCCCCCTGCCCCCCCGCCCAGATCCAGGTCCCTCGCTCCAGGTGATTTGCGCATCATCATCAGCAGCATCATCCTCAGGAGCGTCATCCTCAGCAGCATCATCCTAAGGAGCATCATCCTCAGCAGCATCGTCCTCCCTCCTCAGCATCATCATCATCATCAGCAGAGGGTAGCGCAGTGGTAAAGCGCCTGGGTTTAATTCACGACTCGCATGGGCGTCTTTCTGCGTGTGGAGTTTGTACGTTCTCCCCTTGTTCTGTGGAGTGTGCGTGAGTGGTCGAGCATGGTGCTGGCCACCCCACCCCGTCGTGTGTGCCGTGCCAGGCTTTATAGTTGCTCGCTAGCAGCACTTGCCCCAACAGTCCGTTTAGTGAGTTTGGGGGGGGGGAGGTAGCGGCACTGCATAGGTAAGCGTGTTGCGCTACAAACCCAGCGATCCGAGTTCGATTCCTGCTCATGGCCAACATTGGTGACGATTATCGTAACCGATCGTGGGCCTCCCCTAGGTATACTCAACTTCAAATTAGTCCAGTACCTGGATGTTCTCCCCTTGTTCTGCATGGGTTTCCTGCAGGTTGTCCGGTTTTTCTGCTTTAGCTAAAAAAAACACACACAAACAATGGAACTGGCACTGACCAAACATCCCAATGCCAACAGATTACCTGCAAATTACTGCTCAGTTGGAATCTACAAAGCAATCACCATCCCTTACATCTGTGAAAACATGGCAGGACCCTCCTAAAAAAGTCTCGAGGTTCAGTGAGGCTTTCCTGGGTAAACAAGAAAACAAATGCTGTTGCTGCTACATATAACGCTGATGATGATGATGACGACGACGACGACGCGTGTGTTTGTGTTCTCGGAGGCGCTGCAATCAACCCGGAGCGACTGCGTCAGGCCAGGCAACTTGCCGAGCGAGCGATCAAGGTGTGTGCTGCATCACAAACACATTACAGACGATTTAAACGAAACAAAACTTTTTTTTATTTTACTGAATTTCATGGCTCTTTTGCAGAAGCGGCCTGGCTATCACAAAATGTACGCTCAACAAAGTGGGTTTATCGCGTGGAAATTTATAGCGGCCAAATAACTCTAAACACGTGTTGCTTCTAAATTTTGAGGGAAAATCGGAGGACCCGGAGAAAATTTAACTCGACCACAGGGAGAGAGACACCGGGAGAGAGACACAGGGAGAGAGACACAGGGAGAGAGACACAGGGAGAGAGACACAGGGAGAACGTGCAAACTCCTAATATACAGCAGGCGTCAGGGTCGGGATCAAACCCACAACCTCCTGCATACCAGGCGAGGCAGTTAGCATCTCCTAGCCACCGCGGCAATTTCATTGTCTTCACGTGAAATCAAGTTTATTTGTTTAGCCATGTGAGAACTCAAGAGATCAGGATAGAGTATCATTTAGAGTCTCATTTAGAGTCTCATTTAGAGTCTCATTTAGAGTCTCATTTAGAGTCTCATTTAGAGTATCAGGATAGAGTCTCATTTGGAGTCTCATTTAGAGTCTCATTTAGAGTATCAGGATAGAGTCTCATTTAGAGTCTCATTTAGAGTCTCGTTTAGAGTCTCGTTTAAAGTATCATTTAGAGTCTCATTTAGAGTCTCGTTTAGAGTCTCATTTAGAGTCTCATTTAGAGTCTCAGGATAGAGTATCAGGCTAGAGTCTAATTTAGAGTCTCATTTAGAGTCTCATTTAGAATCTCATTTAGAGTCTCATTTAGAGCGTCATTTAGAGTCTCATTTAGAGTCTCATTGAGAGCCTCATTTAGAGTTTCATTTAGAGTCTCATTTAGAGTCTCATTTAGAGTGTAATTTAGAGTCTCATTTAGAGTCTCATTGAGAGTCTCATTTAGAGTCTCATTTAGAGTCTCATTTAGAGTCTCATTTAGAGTCTCATTTAGAATCTCGGGATAGAGTCTCATTTAGAGTCTCATTTAGAGTCTCGGGATAGAGTCTCATTTAGAGTCTCATTTAGAGTCTCATTTAGAGTCTCAGGATAGAGTCTCATTTAGAGTCTCATTTAGAGTCTCATTTAGAGTCTCATTTAGAGTCTCGAGATGGAGTCTCATTTAGAGTATAATTTAGAGTCTCATTTAGAGTCTCGGGATAGAGTCTCATTTAGAGTCTCATTTAGAGTCTCATTTAGAGTCTCGGGATAGAGTGTCATTCAGAGTCTCATTTATTGTCTCATTTAGAGTCTCGGGATAGAGTCTCATTTAGAGTCCCATTTAGAGTCTCATTTAGAGTCTCGGGATAGAGTCTCATTTAGAGTCTCATTTAGAGTCTCGTTTAGAGTCTCGTTTAGAGTATCATTTAGAGTCTCAGGATAGAGTATCAGGATAGAGTCTAATTTAGAGTCTCATTTAGAGTCTCATTTAGAGTCTCATTTAGAGTCTCATTTAGAGTCTCATTTAGAGTGTCATTTAGAGTCTCATTTAGAGTCTCATTGAGAGTCTCATTTAGAGTCTCATTTAGAGTCTCATTTAGAGTCTCATTTAGAATCTCGGGATAGAGTCTCATTTAGAGTCTCATTTAGAGTCTCGGGATAGAGTCTCATTTAGAGTCTCATTTAGAGTCTCATTTAGAGTCTCAGGATAGAGTCTCATTTAGAGTCTCATTTAGAGTCTCATTTAGAGTCTCATTTAGAGTCTCGGGATAGAGTCTCATTTAGAGTATAATTTAGAGTCTCATTTAGAGTCTCATTTAGAGTCTCGGGATAGAGTGTCATTTAGAGTCTCATTTATTGTCTCATTTAGAGTCTCGGGATAGAGTCTCATTTAGAGTCCCATTTAGAGTCTCATTTAGAGTCTCGGGATAGAGTCTCATTTAGAGTCTCATTTAGAGTCTCGTTTAGAGTCTCGTTTAGAGTATCATTTAGAGTCTCAGGATAGAGTATCAGGATAGAGTCTAATTTAGAGTCTCATTTAGAGTCTCATTTAGAGTCTCATTTAGAGTCTCATTTAGAGCGTCATTTAGAGTCTCATTTAGAGTCTCATTGAGAGTCTCATTTAGAGTCTCATTTAGAGTCTCATTTAGAGTGTCATTTAGAGTCTCATTTAGAGTCTCATTGAGAGTCTCATTTAGAGTCTCATTTAGAGTCTCATTTAAAGTCTCGGGATAGAGTCTCATTTAGAGTCTCACTTAGAGTCTCATTTAGAGTCTCATTTAGAGTCTCGGGATAGAGTCTCGTTTAGAGTCTCGGGATAGAGTCTCATTTAGAGTCTCATTTAGAGTCTCATTTAGAGTCTTGGGATAGAGTCTCATTTAGAGTCTCATTTAGAGTCTCATTTAGAGTCTCGGGATAGAGTCTCGTTTAGAGTCTCATTCAGAGTCTCATTTAGAGTCTCATTTAGAGTCTCATTTAGAGTCTCGGGATAGATTCTCATTTAGAGTCTCATTTAGAGTCTCGGGATAGAGTCTCACAAAAATGACAAAAAACAGGAATGAAGCAAATAGAAATCGGAATAAAAACAACAGTGTCGTCTCACACGAGAAACTGAAAATATTGCAGCGCAAGTAGGTTCGGGCAGATCACATTTTAGACTGTTCAGAGCACGACAACTATTAACTTTCAGAAACATTGAACAGATATCCGGTGACGATTGTACTTATACATAAACATACAGGGACATATGCCAAATCTAACAACTACTGTAACGACATTTGTCCACAGTGCTTCTCATGCGAATTGGCCTGCAATTCTTCAGAGGCAGTTTCTTAACGGCCTTTTTGAAGCGGGGAACGATCGAGGACGGCCTGTTTTCACCCGAAATAATTTTGTTTCCGCCGCGCCGAGCTCGGCGTCGCTACAAGGAGCCCCGGTGTCACCCGTCCCCTTGCAGGACAAGAAGATCTTCGCGGTGCTGGGCCCGTACCCGGTGATCCGCGCGTGCCTGCGCCGCCGCGGCTGGGTGGAGATGCGGCTGTGGGCGCTGGCCGAGGGGGCGACGCCGCGGTCCGGCGCGTCGCGGCGATCCCGCGCCAACGTCCGCCGCCGTCGTCGCAACGATGGTGGCAGCGGAGGGGACGACGACGACGACGACGACGACGATGACGACGACGGTGACGTCGGCGACGGCGACGACGACGGAGGCGATGACGGTGGTGACGTCGTCGACGACGAGGATGACGAGACCGGGAAGGAGAACTGTGAGCAGCACGGAGTGAGCCACGAGCTGCTGGTGAGGATGGCCGTACCGTCCGCACCACCCATACCTCCCACACCACCTGCACCACTCACACCACCCGAACCACCCACACCACCTGTACCACCCACACAACACCGGCATCGCCCACACCACCCTTACCACCTGCGCCACTTGTACCATCCACACCAACCGTACCTCCCACACCACCCGTCACTCCCACACCACCTGCACCACTCACACAGGGCCGGAATAAGATTTTGTAGGCCCCTGGGCTTCAGGTACTGAGGCCCCCCAGTAATATTTTCAAAAGGAAAACAAAGTTAAATAAAAAATAAAATTTATTTTTACAAGGTTAACAACAAATAAAATTCAGCATTCACAAATGAAATAACTTTTCACTTCGTCTCTGGAGGCCCTCCAGCTGGCGGAGGCCCTTGGGCTGCAGCCCCTAAAGCCCGTGTCTTAATCCGGCCCTGCACTCACACCACCTGCACCATTTACACCACCCGTACTACCCACAATACCTGCACCACCTAGGGTGGGGAATACAAGGATCATGGGTCAGGTGCTGCCTGAAACTTTCTTTCACATGATCCACAGCCACACAAGGCCTAACACTTAAAAGCAGCGGCCCGCGTACAATATTTATCTGTCACTGCGAGCATCTTAGCAACTCTCATCTTGCGGGGGGTGGGGGAGACAACCGTTCAACCTGGCGACCACACCGAGTTTATAATTTCAGCGTGCTTACATTTCTGGAGCCGTGGTGAGCTGTCATTAACTCGCAAAGGCGTGCGGTGATGTGCGGTCGCCCGCCAAAGCTATTCGAAAGTCCTGTTTGGCCCTCAGCAAGTACCACGATCCACACGTCTGGTTTTAAATCATGTACGCCCAACCCATACCCACTCGAACCACCAAAATGGCCTGGCTTACCGGCACCTCTTCATTCGAAGCAGAATTAACAGGTCGACCCGGGAGGACCGTTGCGTTCCAACCAGACGAACAGTCTCGGGCGACAGTGCCGTCAGGTTCCAAGCCGGTGTCCGCCCCCCGGTGAGCTTGTCGCCCCCATGTGCCCCTGGGCCAGCCGGCCGGCTGGCAGGGCCACCGCCCCTTGCACAGTCGCTGTGCCCACTCGCACCACCGCCTAATTACGGGGAGTTGGTGTACTAGTGGGGAGCGGTAGTTGTGCGGTTAACCCGCCGCGCTACGAACCTGGCGACCCAAGTTCGATTCCCACTCGCGGCCACGAACACCGGTGATGGTCATCCAAAACCGACTCAGCCTCATGCGTGCTACTCGCTTACAGCACTTTCCCCAAAGCCTTTCCGGGGACCTTTGTCTTTGTAGTCCCGGCTGGTGCGCAACGAGGTACCGTACCTGATCTGGACGACGCGCTGCGGCTCCGTGGATACGAAGCTGCTGCGCAAGGAGCAGATGCTCAATCACTTCGCCAGGGCCGGCTCCTTCACCACCAAGGTGACCCACACCCCATCAACGCAGACGCACTGATTCTTATCGTTGCGGTTGTTGCGGTTATTGTTTGTCAGTCTGTAGTGTCCAGCTGCTGGGTAAATGCCTCCCCCCATTACGTTTTGTTCCCTCCTTCCACGCAGTTGCTCCTAATTTCCTGTCTTGTTGTTGCCATCACTCCCGCTGTCTTGCTACATGCACGGAGATAAACATCCCCCATGATGATAGCAAAGACAAAGTTCCCCCCGTCTAACCTTTAACAGACTGTCAGGGCACGTGCTGTTAGCGAGTAGCACCTATAAAGGCCAGCATGGCACACAAGGGGGCGAGTGGCCAGCACCATGCCCAGCCACCTTTGCCTTCCCAGTGCTGATGTTTACACACCGCAGCAGGTACAGAGACGACCTCGGGGAAGCCTAGCACCCTAACGCAGTCACACACTCACTCACACTACAAAACAACGGGAGAACATAAACACTCCGCACAGAGAGCCACCTGAGGCCGTAGTCGAACCCAGGCCACTTCTTGCCGTGAGGCACAAATGTCACCACTGCGCCACCACCACCACCCTGCCTCCCTGATGATGATGTTGTGGATGATGCTGTAATGATGATGATGGTGGTGGTGGTGTCCATCACCACACACCCCCTGCAGGTCGGTCTCTGTGTCAACATGCGTAACCTCCCCTGGTTCGACTCGGCTAACCCCGACGTGTTCTTCCCTCGCTGCTACCGCCTGGGCGTCGCGGAGGAGAAGATCGCGTTCATCGGCAAGGGCAGCACCCGGCATGCTTCTCACACACACACACAGAGCCACTCACACAGTCACACACACACAGTCACTCACACAGTCACACACACACAAACACACACAGTGCCAGGCTATGTGCACGTTGAGGCCACGTGAAGTGTCGAACGCCCGCTGGCAGGAGGTCACGGGGCAGACCCAGGTGCCACGGGTCGACTGATTGAGATGACTGGCTGATGCACCACCTGTGCCCCCTACTGTGCCAACCTGCTGTGCTTTAGCCACCCGGCGCTCCGCTCATTGTTGTGAGCATCGCTCTTCCCCCCTCCGTTGTTGTTGGAGGGCGACTGCCTCTAACTGCCCAGTAGCGTCCTTCACGAGCCTCCTCCACAGAGGCCGATCTTGACACCGCTGGTACCAGTCATCGGCAAGTCCACTTAGCTTCACATCCTCCTGTACCACATCACTCCATCTCTTCTCTAGCCCGTGCCGCATCTGTTTAGCCCCCTCGATCCGGCTGAACAAAAGCTGTTTAGGCATGTGGTAGCTGGGCATGTGGGCTACATTATCCATCTAATGCAGCCTTGCCTGCCGTAGGAGCTCACTGATGGGACCTTGTCCAGATCTTTCAAGGATATGTGAGCTCCTCTCACAATCCAGCCTGGTTAAACCCAGGATGGATCGTAGGCAGGCCAGCCTAAATGTTTCTAACCGGCGAAGATGTTCCATTAGGGGGGTCCATGTTTCACAAGCGTAGAGAAGGGAGGGAATTACTGTGGCTGAGAAGACCTGAAGCTTCGTGCGGAGCGATAGATCAGGTAGCTTCCACACAGCGTTACGCAGCCGATGAAAAGATAATGCCGTTCGACTAATTCGGAGTGAGACCTCTGCTGTCAAACTGGAGCCGGTCATGAGCACACTGCCCAGGTATGGAAAACTCTCCACTCTCTCCACAACTGCCTTATCACCAACTGGGAGTTGTGGGGGTCGAGTGTCCGATGGTACAAAATACCCGGGCAGGTGCTTAGTTTTGGTGGGGCTGATGGTAAGTCCCCACCTCTTAGTGGCAAGCTCCAGGTTCAGCAGCAGCGCCTCTAACTCCTCCTCTGAGTGAGCAGCAATTACCAGATCATCGGCATACATAACATGGTTGAGCAATGGGGAGCCATCCCTTGACCGCACCCGGGCATCGATCAGCCTCCCATTGTATCTATACCAGATGGAAATTCCTCCAGTACAGCTATTGAAGGCTTCATGAACTATGTGGTCGAAATAGATGTTAAATAATGTGGGAACCAGAGGACATCCCTGTCGCATTCCAAGGTGAACAGGGAATGGCTCCGACTCCCAGCCATGTAGTTTTACCCAGGCCCGCTCACCATCATGAAGGTCCTTAATGATCATGAGCAGTGAGCCAGGGAATCCGAAAGCACGAAGAACAACCCAGAGCCCAGGCCTACTGATGGTATCATAGGCCTTGACCAGGTCAATAAAGCAGAGATGTAGATCTTGTTGGAATTCCCTACACCTCTGCTGTAGTAGACAGACAGAAAATATAGCATCTGTGCAGGACTGTCCTTTCTTGAAACCACATTGGGGCTCCGCAAGTCTCTCCTCAGCGTGCCTGGCAAGGCGAAGTTGAATAATTGTTGCCAAGATCTTTCCCGGCACACTGAGGAGTGAGATACCCTTGTAGTTGTTACAGTCTGTGCGGTCCCCCTTCTTAAATAGGGGGACCACCAGGGTATCCTTCCAATCCTGCGGAACCCGTCCAATGGTCCAGACTGTTGTTATGATGTCATGTAGGGCAATTTGTGCACACACGCCACCCTCTCTCAGCATTTTGCTTTGGAGATAATCTCTGACCGGTGCCTTTCCTGGTCTCAGTCTCTGGATCGCCTTCAGTACTTCCTCAACAGATGGCACCTCAGCCAGCCACTCACAGGGGGTGACTTCTTATTCCAAAATTTGAGGCACCGCAGCCTCAGCAGGATCATCCCCAATTTGTCCCATGATGTTTTCCAGGCTCTCACAGAAATGATCAGCAAATCTGCAAACCTTTTTTGGGGGTCGGAGATTGGATCACCGTTCTTTCCCCTAATGATGGCAATAGGCGTAGCGCTGCAGGTTACTTTTTTGATGGATTTAAGGAGTGATTTGTGATTGCGGGCCGTTGAGGCAGACTCCATCTCCTCAGCAACTCACGACCACCAACCATCCTTGCAGCGCCTCACGGCTCTCCGAACCTCGAAGGCTGCAGTAAGCCTCCTCATTCTCTGACGTGGGATGCTGTAGACGATGAGAGTGGGCCTGTCGCTTTTTCTCAGCCAGCCTGAGCACCTCCTCTGTCAGCCAGGGTCTCTGGGGAGGTCTGGACCGTGTACCTAAAGCAGCCATTGCAGCTGCATGAGCCACAGTCCTAAACCTCGCCCATTTCCCCTCGACATCAGGAGGAGTGGGGGACGATGCCAACCGCAAGTGATGATGAAATTCTCGCTTGCAACTTTCATCAGCTAGGTGAGACCATGCCACTATGGGTTTGAATGGGGTCCTGGGTGTACACCCAGTGGAAGAATGGCAGGCGCATCTTACAAATGACAAGTCGATCGTCAGTGGGCAGATCAGCTCCACGGTAGGTCCTGGTGTCAAGGACATGGCCCCGCATCCGCTGTTCTGTCACTATATAGTCCAGCAGATGTTCTTACTTGGACCCAGCATGCATCCATGATGTTGTGTGAATGCGCCGATGCTGGAACAGCGTGTTGGTCATTACAAGCCCATGGGCTGCAAAAAAATATAGCAGCCTCCTACCGTTGTTATTGAGCTGATCTCGCCTTTAAATCACTCCAGACCAGGTGCTAGCATCATGACCAACTCGGGCAAGATTACTCTATCCCAAAGGGCCACTTTAGCCAGCACCTGTGACAGGAGGTCATAGAAGGCATCTGACTCATCGGCCTTGCTTGCATCCCTCCATGGATGTTTGTCTTCGGTGCTTACAGCTTACCACACTTTACTGCCACGCTCCCACGCCCCCTTCATTCTTTTGTTCAGAAGAAGAGCCACTCCCTGTTGTTTGGCAGTCTCCTGCCCCGAGTAGAGGACTGTCCACCCCTCATGGCGGCAGGAGCCAGAGCTAGTCCACCAGACCTGAATACCACAGAGATCCAGGCGGTACCGGTCCAGCTCCTGACAGAGGAGTGGCAGCCTCTCCTCCGCAGTGAGCATTCGAACATTCCACGTGGCCATCCGTAGTGGCTTTTTGTTGCTTCTGGAGGAGCCCCGAAGGTAAGGATTCAGTCTCCTGGCTCCGCCAAATGGGGTTTGGCCAGGAAATGTGATAGACGCCTGTCTCCCCACGGCCTCCGGCACAAGCTTAATACATTGTTTTCAATCGTAGTTTTGTGGTAGTTAATTGAAGGTGGAGGGGTTACCAGCCCCTCGCACCCATTCAGAGCCCCCATTTGGCCGCTGTGGTGGTTACAAAGGCTATGCAGGGAAAGGCCAATCTAAATTGGCCCTCCCCCCATGGCACTGCCCACCACAGCGTTGCCGTCCGGCACCACGAGGAGGTAGAGTCACTCACACAGTCACACACAAACACAATCATGCACACAGTCACGCATAAACACAGTCACCTCCGATTAGCACGGTTGGCTACGTACGGTGCAAAAGAAGCTCAACATACAGTACATATACATACACACACAGAGTCGCACACAGAGTCACACTTACACAAGCAGAAAGACACACACAAAGACAAATATCCTTCGTCTTAGCAACCTGTTGGGGCAAGTGCTGTTAGCGAGCAGGCACAGTATTTATTTATTTAGTTCAGTTTATTTTGGTATAGCCCTGTGAGCCATTCGGCTCTTGAATCGGGTGCAACCACAACAAACAAAAAACAAAAACACGAACAAGAAAAACATCTTAAAGTGACTATGTGACTGTGCAAACAGAAAATCCATGGAAAAAAACAGCAAAAATATTCCTGGAAAAAAGCACCATACACCAACGCTGTGTGCAAAAAATCCCAGTGGGATGCAAGTCAAACAACAACAACCACAAAAACTTAGATTAAGGCCATCAGTCTAACTCCGTACTACAACAAAACAAACATGTCCAAACCAAAAAAACTTTTCCAAATCACCAAAAAATAAAGCCATAATTGCAACGTAACAGTGATCACAAGGACTGTGACCGAATTTTTACAATAAACTACATAAATAACATGTAACACCAAATCCTAGAGCCATAGCTGGCTGCATGAGTTACTCCACAACAACAGAAGCATCGGTCGGAGTATCAAATTTTTCAATGCACCTTTAAGATCAGCACGCTAAATCAAAATACAGATAATACTTTGCAGCGTCATCCAGAGCGAAACATTTTATTTTATTTTACGCCAATGAATAGCAGTGGCAGCTAGGGGTGTACAACTCCTCTAGAGCAGTTTTGAGAGAAGATCTCATTGGTAGCGATTCAAGTTGCAGTTTATTGGCAATAGCGTTCCAGACTCTGGGGGCATCAATAGCAAAAGCCCTTCCTCCAGTTGAGCGAAGACCTGAGGTCAAATTTGTTCTTTGAAACAGAGAGGAGATCCAGCAGGTCGTCTGCGGATTTTTTGTAAGTACATTGTGAATAAATAAGATCTGCCTTCTTTGGTTCTTTCGGTAAAGTCACGTAGAATGAGAATAAAATAATAAAGTGATAAAATAAAATAACACAATAATATTCTCACGACGTTTCGGCCACAACACAAGCGGCCTTCATCAGGTGAAGGGACGAGACTGTCTGGAGGACAGCGCTGGAGTGAAAAAGCCACGCTCAGATCGCGACCTTTAAGCTGTGTGAGAAGAAACAAAGCGCCTTGACAAAGGAATTAGCATAGAATTTAGCATTGAAATGGCTGAGTGATTAGCTTGTGACTGGTCACAGAAATGGCTATGTTAAAGTTAAAGCATACACATCCGCAGAGGCACCCCTTAACAAAGGAATTAGCATAGAATTTAGCATTGAAAT